GAGAAATTTTGAATAATGTGCTGGTTGCTCTTTTCCAGGCGATTGCAATGAATAGGAACTGGACCCTTCAAGGTTCAAAACGGAGACAAATCATCATAAAAGGATCATAAAAATGGTACATATGACATTTTCAAAATCTTCTAAAGTGTTATGGTAGTGTGAGGAACACACCAAAATATAAGTTGTTTACTGACAGTCCTCCCCTTCAATGAGCCAGAGCATTTCAAACGTGCCCAAGAAACAGCCAGCAATAATTTCCAGAAAAAAAACCCTATAGTTTCTTGTCAGTTCTGTCCCAAAATTGTAATTAGTATAATTAAAGTAAAATGTAAAAAAAAAATACAAAAGAGGAGGAACCAAGCAATTCATCAAGAGCCAACAATATTCGTAATACACAATTCCAATGGTTATAATTATATCAAGATATATTCAATTATAAATGTTCTACATTCAAGGCATATTAAAAGTCTTCTATCTTATGACAGATAGGGTGAGAATCTGACCAAGATATAAGTCGTCCATTAACAGTACTCCCCTCCAGAAAGCTGTTAACTGGAATGTTTGAGCGAGTGAGTTAAACTCACAAAACAGATCAGTTCAGTTTGTGAACAATTCATTCAAATCAACTTGATGAATAGATTAATTCAAAAGATCTGACTCAGAAACACAGTTTGCTCATGAATCATCAAGAGCTAGAAAAATGTTTGACCAATGTTTTCATTGAATGACTACTTCAAGTTTGTGCTTTTCGGTATATAGCACATAAGTCATCTGGTTTTATGATACTTTTGAGTGCTTTTTAAAGCTTCATTGTCACCTTTGAAAAGAGCAGCCAGCACATTTTTCTAAATTTCTCATTTTATGTTCTACAGACCAAGTCAGTCACGCAGGTTTGGGATGACGTGAGGGCGAGTAAATAATGACAGCTTTAAATGAGATAAAGGGAAGCAGACAGGTAGAAAAAGAGGCAGAGATGTATGAGTGAGGCTGAGCACTGGGCAGCAGACTCAGCCAGGCTGTGTGTTTTTGTCTGCAGGGACAGTGTGAAGTGTGGCGTCTGAACAGTAGGGAGTGGGTTAATGGAATTATATGCTAGACTGAGCTGCTTGCCAGCCTCACAATATGGCAGCAGTTTGGAAATTAAAATTGAATGTACTCCAAAAGGCTGTGAGAGAGAGGGCAGTGAGACAGGCGCGTGTGGAATGGGCCGAAGGGACCCAGGCAATCCTACACATTCATTCTGCTGGTAAATAGCAGTGGAATCATGGGAACAGTGAGAGGCATGCAGAAATTCATTTGGAATGATTGTAAAGGTGTCAGAATTGAAATCAGCTCAGCATATTTTTAATTACAGTCACCTCTTGTACATATCACAGGATGTCAGTGGCATGCGTAATTTAAGAGATGTGTGTGCACTGCATAAAATGACTGTTTGAAATGAGCAAATAATATAATACGAAAAAAAGGTTTTTCAGAGACATGGTGGACAAAGCACATGCCCTAACATGTTGGAGGGTGGCATTTACATCAGATCTGTCTTGGATAGTTTCTAGATAACATCCCTTCTATTGTTTCCTGTCAGTTCTGTCCCATCAATTAAAGGCGAAAAATCTAATTTTATTTTATATTCACTAATTATGTAAAAAAAAAAAAAATTTTTAAACAGATAAACAGACAGATATTTAACTAATATAGTTAAATAATAAAACAGACAGATATTTAACTGAATTTATAAAAATTCAAATAAAACATACATAGATATTTAAATAAAAATTGTATATTTTAAATATTTAAAAAAGAGACAGACAGACATATGTTTTAAATAAATATTCAAATAAAACATAGATATATTTAAATACATATTTATGCAAATCATAGATATTTAGATAAATATTTAAAGTACTAGACAGACAAATATAAAAAAAAATAAACATTCAA